TGTGCGGAGCTAGCTGATCTACAACATATGCTGTTTGAATGTCCTTTACATTTTATTGAAATATCAAATTTTTTACCAAGCTAGTTCAAGTTAATGTTCAATTACCTTCTAATCTGACACATCTTTTAGAGTCAAAGAATCTAGATGTACCTATATAAAATTTTATATAGTCATATTAATTGCTTAATATTAAAGCTCTGACAAAAAAAAACAATAAAAAAAGTAATAAAGAATAAAAAAAAGTTACTAAGAAGATTTAAACCTCTGAGGTTTCGAATCGGTTTTATGTCTTAGCGTAGTAATAAAAAAAATAATAAATAAAAACAAAAAATAAATAAAAGAAAAAGATATACAAAAAAAGCTACAAAAAAAAACAAAACAGCAAAAACAGAGTTAACTAGTAAGTTTCTAATATTCCATATCTTAATTCTCAATACAATAGTTTTAAATGTAAATACTAACCCTATCTTGTGTAACGAGAGAACTCAAAACAATTTGACTGGCCAGTTGGTTGTTAAAACCAGTGCCAATAAAACACACACACACACACACACGCACAATATTTGATATCTTCTAGACAGTCACATCAGCAGTTTTAGCGATTTGCCTTGAAATACCCTTACTATTATTTTGCGCCATTCTATTAATGTGTTTATTTCATTCTTTTTTTCTTTTTTGTATCCATGTGCCAACCGGATAGATTTTGCAATTCCTGCTTCCTTTTTAGAAATTTTGCCAGTTATTTTTTGAATTCTTTTCATCTCAGTTGTTTCCATTATTCATTTTTTTCTCTTCTACTTGCGTCAAGTCTTGTTTCATCATTGTAAGTTATAATGTAGCGTATTGTTGTCTTGCTCACTTTAATTTTCATGTTTATATCAAGATGTTTTTTTACCATGTAAGAATATAAATTTCGTTATTTCGTTATTAGCAACTTAATCCCAATTTACACTCCTATAAAAGTGGTTCACTTTAAGAGAGGCTACTTATCAAGGAATATATTAGATGTTATGCTCTCCTTCAAGATGCCGACACAGCGAATGGTTATTCATTTAAAATAGGTATAAAATCTAAAACCTACATTAACTTATTATTCAAAAAGGAATTTTGGCCACCTTAATGGTAATTCCGAAGAACATCAGAAGCCCCGTTAGCTTGGAAAATGCAATTACCATTTCAAGCAACAACAAAAATGAAATTCGTTGAGAATCGTTGCCATCCATAAATCTGACCCCACCAAGAGTTACATTAACCAATAACTCGAGCAGTCGATATCTTCTAGCAAGATAAATCGATTACACGACCAACCTGCTTCAGTATATTACGATGGATTTACCAATTTTGGCGTCCTAAGGACTTTCCACTAAGACGGAAGATCTACGAAAAATCCTTCTAGAATTTAACGATGCTTATGGAATTGGTAAAACTAAGATGGAAGCTGATCTTGCTACTTTTAGGTCCTTTCTCACTTCGACAAAAATTATTCACCTGCAACAATCAAGGTAATTTCACCAAAAGATGACCTTTAGCATGGTTCTGCTTCTAATTCTTCTTCTTCTTAGAGTGCCGTCTCCCTACGGAGGTTGGCAATCATAATGGCTATTTTTATTTTAGAACTTGCTGCACTAAACAAATCAATCGATCTGCATTGGTACCAATCACGTAGATTCTTTAACCATGAGTTCTGCCTTCGGCCAACAGATCTTCTTCCTTGAATCTTTCCCTGTATTATCAGTCTCAAAATTTCATATTTTGGTCCCCTCATCACGTGGCCTAGGTATTCCAGTTTTCTGGTTTGTATAGTGGTGATTAGTTCTGTTTCTTTACCAACCCTCTCCAGTACTTCTTTATTTGTAATTCTATCAGTCCATGATATTTTCAATACTCTGCGGTATAACCAGAGTTCGAAGGCCTCGATTCTTTTTAAATTACATTTTTTTAATGTCCAAGTCTCAGCTCCATATAATAATATTGAAAATATATGACAGCGAATGGTACGTAGTCTGATCTCCAAATTTAGATTTTTGCACGTTAGGAGTGGCTTCATTCGTATAAATGCTGATCTGGCAATCTCTATTCGTCTGTTTATTTCTACAGTATGATCATTGGTTTCATTGATCAAAGTTCCCAAATACTGATATTTTTCTACTTGTTCTATCACGTTACCATTTATTGTCAATAGGTGATGTATATTTTGTGGCCTTTTTGTAATCAGCGTGTACTCCGTTTTTTTAGCGTTTATAGTAATTCCCATCTCAGCACTATTTATACTCAAGCTTTCGATAAGATGTTGTAGATCCTCTATACTCGTTGCTATGATCACAGTGTCGTCTGCATATCTTAAATTATTAATTAATTTTCCGTTAACGGCGACTCCCGCTTCGATATTATTGAGCGTGTTTTGGAAAATTTCTTCAGAATATAAGTTAAACAAAAGTGGTGATAACACACATCCTTGTCTAACTCCTCTACAGATCCTCATTTCTTCTGAGTGTTTGCCCATCAATTTGAACTATGGCACTTTGGTTCCAATATAATGTTTGCACTATATTTATGATTTTACTGTCAATGCGCTTGTTCATAAGTATTGATATTAGTTTTTCATGTCCTACTTTATCGAAAGCTTTTTCGTAGTCAATGAAGCACAAGTGTAGATCAACATTTACATCCCGACATCGCTGAATTAATATGTTGATGGCAAATAGTCCTTCTCGAGTACCCATTCCATTTCGGAACCCGAACTGCGTCTCGCTAATATCCTCCTCTAGCCTTTCGTATATTCTCTTATGTATTATTTTTAGCAGAACTTTTAAAGTATGACTCATGAGGCTCAGTGTTCGATAATCAGAGCACTCTTTTGCTGCTTGTTTTTTAGGGATGGTTATAAATGCTGACTTTAGCCACTCCTGTGGTATTATTCCCGTATCGTACACCGTGTTGAATAAATCTGCCAATACTTCCAAGTTGTCCTCTTCCACTAGTTTTAAGAGTTCTACTGGTATTTCATCTAATCCAGCTGCGTTATTGTTAGAGTTTTTGATAGCATATTTGATTTCATCTATCGTGATCTTCTGTATCTCTAAAGGACTTAATTCTTGTATTTTCTGCATTTCACCTCTTTCATCTTGGAAAAGTTCTCTAACGTACTCCTCCCATCGCCTTAACTTCTCTGGTAAATCTACTAGTAGTACTCCTTTTTTGTCTTTTATGTGTCCTTGCTGTCTATTTCGACCCATTCCCGTCACTTCTCTAATTTTTTTGTGCATATTTCTCATATCATATTTTGTTTCTAGTTCTTCTATCTCTTTACATTGCTTCATCAAATAGATTTCCTTAGCTGTTTTGATTTTTTCCTTAATTATTCGTTGTATTTCTTTATACTTCTGTAGATCTTTTCCTTTATATTTCCTTCTTTCTTCCATCAGTAATAGTATTCCTTCTGTCATCCAGTGTTTTTTAGTCTCTGATTTATGTTCTATTAAACTTTCTTGAGCTGGTTTCAGTAATGTGTTTTTTTATATTACACCACTTTTTATTTACATCCATAATTCGTTTGTTGTCAGTTAGTGTTTTTTGCATATTAACATTCACATTATTTTTTATTTCGTTTTTTATTTCTTCGTTTTGTAGCATTCTTACGTTAATTTTTGGTTGTTGTTTTCTGAGTTCAATTCTTTTTAATTTTATTTTCACGTCAGCCACTAGCGGATTGTGGTCTGAGTTAACATCTGCTCCAGGATAAGTTTTAACTGAGGTTATAGAGTTTTTATATCTGCTATTTACGAGTATAAAGTCTATCTGGTTTCTGACAATGTGGTTTTCTGTATGTGAAGGAGACGTCCATGTATATAGTCTTCTTTTAGGAAGCTGAAACCAAGTATTGGCAATTACCATATTCTTTTCTTGGCAGAATTCTATGAGCCTTTCTCCTCTCTCGTTTCTAGTTCCTAGTCCGAACTGTCCAACTATATTTTCATCTGTACCTACTCCAATTTTTGCATTAAAATCTCCTAAAATGTAATATTTGTTGTATAAGATATGAAACAGATGAATTATTTTTGTTTCTAGAGGAATTAGGATTTCTCCCGATATTTGCGGTTACAGAGCACTGACTTGAAGTCAACGAGCATTTTTTTGTAGATAAATATACCACAATTGCTAGGCATGATCGTCCAAGTTCAGCTCATTTCAACAAAATATGAATTTCTGTTGAATGAAGCCTTCTTTGAATTTTCCTTATATTCTAATAGAAATGTTAAACTCTACATTCTTTACACTTATAGATCACCTCACTCTTCCACGTAACTATTTTTTTAGAATCTGCTGAATTTGTTATATGATCTACCCAATAAAAGCAGAAAAATTCCAAGTGGTGACTTTAATACTAATTGCGCTGCTACTTGTGCTGCCCTACTGCCCTTGGTCAATATATACAAATCGTAGGGTCTCACAATGCACGTTAATTTTCCTTCAAGAATTACGAAAGCAACATCTGCATAATTGACTATATTAGCTCATATTTCTCACCCCTTGATGTACGCTCAGCAAATTAAACTTATTAGTTCGTAAGGTTTTATTATGCAATTTGAAATTTATTTAAATTTTGCAATGGATTATTTTATTGTTTTATTTTGTGATAGTGAAAAATATACGTAGTGGCAAAATTACAAAGAAACCTTAGTGAACAATCAATCTTACTACCTCTTCCGATCCGCCTCCCTTAGTAATTAAATATTAAGGACCCCATAGGTCCTTCTTTAAATATTGTCATTGTCTTTGCGTTGGCTTATTAGTCTGTCTAAAGACTAAGGCATACACCTACGAGAACTTTAGAAACTTTCCCAGTCGTATTGATTTTTCAAATTGGTTGCAAGATAAACAATACCAAATCAATACTTTTTTTTCTTTGAACCACACATGAAGGCATTTAATAAAACCACATTACTTTTCTACCAAATATATAACATCGATACTGGTTTAAAATTAAATATTTCTTTCAGGTTTTTAGATTGTTCAGCTTTTTACCATGAAGATCATTTAGAAGGATTAGTACGAGTTACGCGGATGATGCTGCACTGCAAATATCCTAGATATCTAGAGGACGGAGCTTTAACATTAAATAATTCACTGCCAACTATCTATAGCAGCGTAGCCAGTCCTCTTGGTACTGTACAGCATCTTTGCAGACAATTAGGACTACCATTAGCATGCGTAAGGCCTGTGCCGGTCAATACATACTTTGGTAAGATTATTTATTATACAGTGCAAGTAAAAGTTTATGGTCCGTATGGTAAAATTTAACAGGATATCTAACACAGATATAAAATCATATTTTCAGCGAATAGACAAAAATAACAATCATATTTCTCCTTGGTCTTCCCTCCATATTTCTCATTGACCCCCATTTCCCATTAGTCAGACGATTAGTTCCGATCAGAGATATTTTACATATCTCTGGTTCCGATCCTAATATACCTGAGAAACTAGAGGTGGTCGTTGCCATTTTTATCGGAACCGTTTTTCGTAAACTGTAACTAGTTGATTGTTTACTAGTAGTTTCAAATAAGCGAGTACACAAACAAAAATATTGGCTATTATCGTTTATGTGTATAAGTATTCAAGTGAAAGAAACTAACGAAGGATATATTTATTATAACCTGAAAAATAAATTAAGCCATACCAATTTTACTTACATTTACATTACATTTTTAAAAGTGAAACTGGAACAAACCATGAAGTGGAGATATCCAGGAGTGGCTAGTATACCTGTTGAATACAAAGCACGTGGTGTTCGTGTGTATTAAGGTATAAAAAAAAGCGCTTATTAAAAGCTTAAAATTTTTTATTATAAAGAAGATTCTTTTCTTTGTATCATTCCATCATCAGTTTACTAAAAGAGAGAGTAAAAATACCAATATTAAAAACAAGAAAGTTAAAATTTGAATATACAAAAAGAAAAGTTGGTTTTTTACTACTTACATAAAAAGTTGTTAAAAAACATTGTGTGGCCACATAAAAAACATTCGATGGACATCTGGATTTAAAAAATAATCTTCATGTTATTTATTCAGGTAAATGCAATAGACTCTTAAATTGTGTAATATTAAAAAATGAAACGGGGGGCATCTTATATGACCCCCTGTAGTTGGTGAGGTTTTATTGACTTAAATTACCTCTGATCTATGTTGGAGTCTAGGGCTAACTGATAGAAAGATGGTATGAAAAATCAGTTAGTACCCGTCAATGTCAAGAGGAATGATGTGGTAGGAGCAAAGTCGTTGTGCTTAAGTTTGTGAGTAGGCAGTTTTTAGTGAAGAAATGTGTTTTGTGTGTAGTAGGATCATTGGCAATTTTTGGTATTTTAAAAAACTGGTGGGAGAATATAAATCAATGAGTGACTGCGATGTAAAATAAATCGGTATACCAAGGTAGGGAAAATTTTTTTTAATTAAAGTGGTTAAAATTAATAAATCATTTTAAATGGGATGAAAAGGATGTTATTACCTAATTGTTTCGTTGTATTAAATGAGTATATATAAAAGTTGGATTTCAATGGAAATATTGAAATCCAACAAGGAACAGATTTTATTACAATACTACAATATTTTATGAATATAGTGGTTAAGTTAGAATATACATGGCGATGGTTTGTATCAAAAATACACCATGGACTTAAGTCATCTTTATCAGTTTCTTTTTCTTGTACTGATTGATTTTCAATAGTACAATCTTCTTTTTCTTTTTTTTATAGAAGTAACCAGCTTCTTAACTCTTTCTTTTGTTTTTTATAACTAGTTATTCTGATTAATGAATGAGTTACGATTTACGATTGATCTGCATTTTTGATTTCAAATCTTTATTGATAGTTCATCAAAGGATTTATTTATTGTAAATATTCAATTAAGAATTGTTTTTCTTAGTCAAAATTATTAACCTAGTATAAGAATCATAATTTTATTTTCAAAAAATGCACATTTGTAGAAGATGCAGCTGGTATGGTCCACTTTCTGAATATTGCAAGGATTGAAACTTCTCCTGACGCATTTCTGTCCGTTTCGACTACTTCTACTACAAGTACTGGCATACTGCTATCGCCACCCAAACGTCAAAAGTTGATGGATACTACCATTAATAAAAATATTAGTTTAGAACAAAAGAAACAAATAGATATGGATTTACTAAACGTATGCAAAGACTCGTTTCATCTGTTTTCCACAGTTGAAGAACGCGCTTTTAAAAAGTTTTCAGTGTGGATTCCTGGATATAAACCGCCAACAAGAAAAACTTTGCCAGGTTCATTACTGCAGGAATGTTATATCAAAACTGAGCAAATTATTAGATCACAAGTTGTTAAAGAAGTAGAAAATATCTATATTACTACTGACCTCTGGACATCTGGAGTAACTCAGAGTTTCGTCGCATTAACAGGACAATATTTAATGGAAAATTTAGAATTTAAAACGGTTTTTATTGGCTGCTGTCATTTTTCTGGAAACCATAATTCAGAAAACATCGCCTTTGAAATTAGTGAAATTATTAATCAGTGGGGTCTGAAACAAAAAGTAAATTTTGTAGTAACTGATAATGCCTCAAATATGGTCAAAGCTATTAAAGATGGTTTGGAATGAAAACATTTAAATTGTTTTGCTCGTACGTTAAATTTATTGGTGGAGGACGCACTTAAATGCTGTCGTCTACAAATAGATAAAAAAAAGTCCTTTTTTCGACAATTCGGCAAGAAACACATTTAAAAAAAGTACCTTATCTTCAGAAAGGCTTTTAAAGTATCAATTACAACATAATAAAGTTCCCAAAAGGCCAATCCAAGACGTGGAAACTGTGTAGAACTTCACCTATTACATGTTAAAAAGAATGACCGAGTTAGAAGGGGCAATCCGTTCCACATTGGTATTAGTTAATACAGACTTAGACTTCCACCAAATCTAAATAATGAACACTGGATTATTTGTTCTCAACTTTCCCAAATTTTCCGGCCTTTTAAAGAAATAACAAGTACAATGAAAGGCCAAAAATACTTAAAGGGTAGTTCAGTGATTATTATGGTACGCTGCCTGCAAGAATATTGCAATAAAATTTTAGCAAACGGTAACCTTACATCCATAGTATCCGACGTAGTACAATTATTAATATCGGGTTTAGCAAAAAGATTTACAGGGATAGAACAGAGTGGCACATTGTCATTATGTACATGTATGGATTCACGATTTAACATGCAGGGATTTTCTGATAAAAATAAAGCTAAAAAAACAAAGAAAGAGTTAAGAAGCTGGTTACTTCTATAATTAAAGAACAAGAAGATTTTACTATTGAAAAACAACCAGTACAAGAAAAAGAAACCGAGTAAAGATGACTTAATTCTATGGTGTATTTTTGATCAATTAATTGGAAATGACTGACCTAAACGTACACCTGTATTGAGAGTCCATAACAATGGTGGAAAGACGATCGCCATGTATATCCTAACTTAACCACTATGTTCATAAAATATTGTAAATGTGAACACATGTTCAAAATCTGGTTTAATTTTAAATAAAAGAAGAACACGGTTAACAAGAAGTAAAGTCGAAAAACTTTTGTTGTTTGTTGTTTTTAAATGTCATTTTAGACGATTCGCGATTCAATAATGTGTAATGTAAATATAAGTAAGATTTACGATATGTATTGTTTAGTTTATTTTTCAGTTATAATAAATATATCCTTCATTAGTTTCTTTCACTTCAATCAATATAGACATAAACGATAATAGCCATTATGTTTGTTTATGTAGTTACTCTCTTACTTGAAACTACTGTTAAACAATCGTAGTTACTTGTTTACGAAAATCGGTTTAGTTGCGTTAAGAGCGTAGGCGGAAAATTTCGGGGCATTGCTTTTTAAATGCATTCATTTTTGTCGAATCCTGTGAAAACGAACAAATATTTTTGAAAAACGTAAACTCAGAATAAAAGATTATATTATTACCGAGGGCCGAAAGTCCTTTAGAATAAACAAAAAGTTTTTTGAATGAGATATTTGAAATTAAAAATCACACTAAATTTTCTCTTTTTTTACCGCTGTAACTTACAATAAACATTATAGAAGTTTTCAGGGACTTTCGACCTTCGGTAATAATGTATTCTTTCATTCTGCGTTTAAATTTTTCAAAAATATTTATGTTTTATCAGGATTCGAAAAAAATGAATGCATTTAAAAAGCATTGGTCCGAAATTTTGCGCCTACGCTCTTAACGATAAAAATGTCAACGACCCACCTCTATTACTCGTTACCTGTGTCCCTATTTTGATTCAGTGCTTTGACCAGGCGACACGAGACGTTGCCAAATAATTTTGTATGAAGCTTTTTTATTGTGGCGTTATATGCAGTTTATTATTTTATATTGGGAATAAGGCACAATGTGAATTTAAAATAAGCTTATTTTGATGTTTAGATTTTTAATTCGGAAATCGTACTTAAAATACGAAACATTAATAAATTTTATTTATATAAAACAATTTCCGAAGTGGAAATCAAAATGTTATATTACACTTATTGTAAAGTAAAATTGTGGCATCTTCCCAATAAAAAACAGTAAGCAGCCCTTTAAATCCATTTCGTCCAAATTTCATTATCTTGAACATTGCTCAAATCCTAAAAAGACAACAGGTCAAATAAAACCAGTAAGTTTGGCAACGTTGAACTTCATCTTTTTTATTATATACACGCATGCGTGTTCAGCGATATAAAGGGCGGAATTAATATACCTCTCTCTTTTTAAACAGGTGTTTCTCACTCCATCTCACGTGGTCCATACCGACCATAAACTTTTACCTATACTGTGTATATCAGCTCACTAGCTCACTAAATCATATAGCAATCTGCTGCTACGTAAGAATTGTTTATATATATATATATATATATATATATATATAATATATATATATATATATATATATATATATATATACATCCTACTATCATTTTGGCATCGATACATTATGCTTTTACCATCAATTTAGCATCGTCTTGCAAAGTAGCATCTGTATATCGACGCTACTTTACAACACCTTAATAACTTTTTTCCTGTACTTGTTACAAGAATTTTAACCATCTCACTGATTAGAGATTTAATACCGTGTTGGTATTTTAAAATATCGGCTTTCTCTTTTTATCCCTTACTGAGTTATATAAGTTTATTCCAGAAAATGTTTGAGTCTAAAATGATGGTACGGTGAAAATATTATA